CTCAGGAGCAACACTTTGAAAAATACCATACAACTTAGGAGAGGCTAGAGAGCATTATGCTGGGTAAAATAACTCAGTCTCATAAGGACAAATACTGCATAAAAACATTATTGTAAAAATAGAAGTATAACTAGTAAGATGTATCTAAAAGTCTAAAGAGGGCAGGGGAGGAGGTAGGCAGGATGGGGGTGGGAGAAGTGGGAAGTCACAAAATTGTAGAGTTTGTTGGGTGAAGGGAGAGTGTGAAGTGATTAGGAAAGATCCAATGGGATCTGAAAAAGCTGGGGCAACAGTGTGACTAGATCAATAGGGATTAATTTTATAAGACACAATGTATGGGAATGATTATAGAAAACACAACTTGAATGAAGGAATATGTGAAATACAGTGTATATAAATTAGAAAAAAAAACCCTTTCACTGGAAAAAAAAAAAAGTAACAATGAAGCCAAGGAGGGAAAATGATCCAGGTTCCTAGAAAACTTTTCCCCCCCTCTTTATATGAAAGCATCTTTTAAATTTACATAGTTTCAAAGTACATCCCTCCAAATTATGTACTGGTTTGGGGTTTGTTTTTTTTCTGTTGTTGTTATGTACTATGGAGTTTGTACTAGGACAGGGTCATAACTCAACAGCAGCTAATCACAACAAAAACATGGAGTCTGAACAGACTCATAGTTAACCCACTAGCGGGTTTTCAAAGGCAGTAAATCAGATTGGAGGAAGCTGCCCATCTTTTTCTTATGGAGCATCTAGTGGATCCCAACCATCTGCCTTTGGGCTGGCAGTGCAACTCCTTGTCATTACGCCATCAAAGAGAAAAACAGAACTATAAAGAGGAGGAACACAGATCTTAACAAAATTAGTAAAATAAGTTCACCTATAAAGATGTACAAAAGTTTATAAAATTGTTATTGTTAGGTGCCATCAATTAAGTTCTGACTCATATTAACCTTACATATACATAACAAAACGGAAAAAAATATATTGCTGTGCTTGAGAGAGTTCTCACAACCTCTGTGTCAGTATACCTTACTGAGGATTTCCTTCCCTGCCCCACCCCACAGACTCACTTCTTATCATTCTTCTCCACAAACTGGTGCTTCTTCATACCACTCCCAAATTCACGAAATGAAGTCTCATCATCTTTGCTTCTAAAGTGAATTCTGACTATATTTCCAGTCGCAATTAATACCATGATCATCAGTATAATGAAGTTTGTACTATAAATTCTAACCTCTATTTTTATAAGGTAGAATTACAAGAGTATCTGTAAAGGTAGGATTAGCCTTATCTAGCTAATAGTATTTCTCTTTGAACTCTGGCAAATAGGCTACAGAACTTTCTGTCAGATCTATCTCTTGATGGCTCATGGCTTCCAGACTTTGACCAGTGGTGTGCCAGATTTGCTAATTTTTCACTCAAAATCAGACCCCAAACCAGCCACCTGTGACCCTGTTTTGCAATAACAACTTCTAGGTGTTCCAGCCTCTGAAAATAGTAGCCTCCAAAGAGAACAGTCTAAGGTCTGACCCACAGACCTGATACTTGACTCTACAAGGATGTGAACAACTTTCTTGAAATCTGTGAGAGGGAGATGGAGAGGGAGAGGGAAAGAGGCAGAAGGAGAGATACAGAGAAGGAGAGAGGGAGAAGGAGGGAGGGAGGGAGGTAGAAAGGGAGAGAAGGAGGGAGAGAAATAGGAGGGAGGGAAGGAGGGAGAGAAATAGGAGGGAGGGAAGGAGGGAGAGAGGGAGACAGGGAGAGACTATGAGAAAGAGAGAGGTGGTGAGGGAGAGACAGAGGCAAAGAAAGGCAGATCCCCTAAAAGAAAATAATTTACTGTTTTTCACCACCACAGTCATTCACAAAGCCTTCCATTGGTTACTGTCTAGTTTTCCTATGTACATGAAATGAGGGAAAATACCATGCCTTGAGCCAGGTGTATATTAGTTCTCAAAGTGGAACCTTTATTTTGATTTTGTTGTTGTTTTTCAGGTTTAAAAAAAAATACTTAAAAGTCTTTTGCAGTGGATTTTTCTAATGCAATCTATATAATTTGGTTGAAATATGAATGCTGTATAAAAGGTGAGTATTGCTTTGTTGTTAAGTTTCCTAAATTGAAACTGAACTGGGGTTATATAAGAGACTATCATTGTTCTTAGGGAATACACATTTTAGTATTAAAGGGTTGTTGTTGTTTGTTGTTATGTGCCGTCGAGTCATTTGTGACTCATAATGACCCTATGTACAACAGCCCTAAACTCTGCTCTATCCTGTGCCAATCGCACTGCCTCTGACACACCCATCCAAATTACCCCAGTCACTGAACAATCCACCTCATAGAGGGCCTTCCCCTCCTGCGCTGTCCCTCCACCCTCGCAAGCATGATGATGTTCCTCTCCAAGGACCTCCCCTTCCTTACAACATGTCCAAAATATGTCAGACGAAGCCCCAGAATCCTTGCCTCCAAGGAGTAGCCTGGTTTAACCCTCTCCACATGAATCTGTTTGTTGTCTTGGCAGTCCATGGTACATTCAATACTCTTCTCTAGCACTACAGCTCAAAGGCATCAATTCTCCTTCTATCCTCCCTAGTCATTGTCCAACTCTCTGATGCATAACAAGTGATTGCAAAGACCATGGCCTGTATCAGGTGCACCTTAGTCTCCAGAGACACACCGTTGCTCTTGAGTACTTTAGAGAGGTCCCTAACAGCTGATTTTCCCATCGCTATACATTTTTTTCTTTTTAAATTTCTGGCTGCTGATGCCAAGAGTGTTGACTGTGGAGCCAAGCAATCTGAAGCTGTGAATAATCTCAATCTCTTCACCATCCATCCTGATGCTGCCAACTGCTCCAGTGGTGAGAATCTTTGTATTCTTGACATTGAGCCTCAATCCATACTGAAGCCTGCAGTCCTTGACCCTCTGCAGCAAGTGCATGAGATCTTCCTCAGTTTCAGCAAGCAGGGCTGTGTCATCTGCAATGATCTTCCACCAATCCTGACGCTACACTTCTCCTCATAGAGCTCAGCCTCTCAGATAATATGTTCTGCATACAGGTTGAAAAGGTATGGAGATAGGACACATCCCGGGCGTACACCCTTCCCAATTTTGAACCATGTGGTGTTACCCTGCTCTGTTCTGACAACTGCCTCATGGTCTAAGTATAGGTTTTGCATTAGCACGATTAAATGTTCTGGGATTCCCATTCTTCTCAGAGTCAGCCACAGTTATGATCCACACAGTCAAACGCCTTTGCATAATCAATGAAACAGAAATATACATTCTTCTGGTATTCCCTGCTTTCAGCTAAGATTCATCTAACATCAGCTACAATATCCCTAGGACCATGACCCCTTCTAAACCCAGCCTGGACTTCTGGAAGTTCTCTGCTGATGTGCTGTTCCAGTCATTTTTGGATAATCTTCAGTAGAATCTTGCTTGCATGTGAAATCAATGATATCGTTCTGTAGTTTCCACACTCTGTTGGGTCACCCTTCTTTGGAATGGGAACAAATATAGATCTCTTCCAGTCAGTTGGCCAAGTGGTTGTTCTCCAGATTTCTTGGCACAGCTTGGTGAGCAAGTCCAGGGCAGCATCTGTTAGCTGAAATATGTCAGTTGGTATACCATCTATTCCTGGGGCCTTATTTTTTGCTATTTCCTTCAAAGCAGCTGAACTTCTTCCTTCATCACCATAGGCTCTTGCTCAAATGTTAGAGAAGTATAATACATGATCTGTCTCGAGTAACTTTAAAATAATATCTCTGTATTATGGGTTGCCAGAGAAATTCAAAGCCGGTGCGGCAAAATGCTGGAATTGTTCCATTTAAAAAAATGGCATGTGAATTTTTATATCATTCTTATAGTTTTGCTGAAAGTTTCAATATATTTCAAAATTAAAACTTTAAAATGTTAATGTGTGAAGATTTCACCACAAACAATTAATTGATTAATCCAAAGTGGGCAAAATGGTATGCCTAGTACAAATGCTTTGAGTGGTAATATATTAGGAGCCCATATCAGAATGTAAATCAATATGTGACTTTCTTCATTAAAGCCTTACTACAAAGAAAAAGAGTCATATGTACTTACTATGTCATACGTACTTACACAGTTACTAGTCATAAAGTGCTTACTGACATTCCTGCTTCAACTTGGTAACAGTTTTTTATGCTAACACTGCACTTTGAGTATTGCTGTACAATATTAACTGGCTTTTCATTCAATTCAATCCCATAATCAATACTTTCAAAACTACACAATGCAGTTGAAAGAATAAGTTAACTCTTGAGTATGATGACTTAAGGTAATTTAAAAATTTCCTAATGTTTCGTTGTTGTTGATTGTCCTTGAGTCGAGCATGACTCACAGTGACCCTATGAACAAAAGGCCTGAAGCCCCTCTACAACTATCGACATTTATCAAAATTCATAGAGTTTCTGGAGGCAAGTTGTTTAGGAAGAGTATGTCACTCCTGCTTCCAAATCTGTCACAGAATATTCTTGGTTGAGTTTCCTGTGATGCATAGCGACCCTATGTACAGCAGCTCTGAACTCTTCCCTGTCCTGAGCCAGTCTTACTAATTCTAACACCAACCTCAGTAGCCCCAGTTACTGTATCAATCCGTCTCATCCTGGGTCTCTCTCTCCTGCCCTGTCCCTCCACGCTTTCAAGCATGATGTCATTCTCCAAGGACCAATCTCTCCTGGCCAAAGTAGTTGAAGCAGAGCTTCAAAATCCTAGCCACCAAGGAGAGACTTGGTTTTACCCTCTTCAAGACAGAACAATTTGGTTTTTTTGGCAGAATGTTTCTACAGTAATCATTAATTTCTTTTTGGGGAAAAAAAGATAAACTTTATAAAAAGAACAGGTGGAAAATATATTAATTGCCTACTAGCAATCAGATTTTTTAAGAATTTTACTCTAGGCCAAAATACATAATTTTGTATGATGGTCAAACACTGCCCCAATTTTTCCAAAAGGATAGCACTTACAGCTGATCTTGAAGCTCCACAATTATATATTCTAACTGTTCCTTCTCCAATTTATGGGCCAGATCGGAATCTTCAATCCTCTGAAGTAGAATTTTATTCTGGGTGACTGATTCAGATAGTTGGTTCTCTCGAAGTCTTAAAAGTTCTTCAAGATAACCCTGGAAACAAAGTACAATCAATAGTAGCAACTGCAAAATATTCATATAGCATCTAAAGATAAATCTCAAGTAAGTTAAATATTATCCCTAACTATACTATAATAGGACAACTTTAAAATATCACTGATGAATAGAAAATTTTAAATTTGCTCATTATGTAAAGTTCTTTGCTAAAGTCTGATAAAATGATTGTCATTTAGAGCAAAATTTCATTAAAATACTGTCATTTCTAAGCTTTAGAACAGCTAAAAATAATCTACATTACTCTGATGTTTAAATCTAACTGAAATATGATAAATATTTCAATATATGAAGCTATTAAAATACAAAATACACATAGATGCTAGCATTTTTGCATTAGTATACAAGTGAGAGGGAGAAAAGGCTCTGTTTTGGTAGGCTTGTTGGTTTATATCCAATATCAGATTCCATTTCTATCATTTACCAATTGTAGGTCCTTCCAAAACTACTTAACCTTTCTGAATCCGTTTGCTCATTTACACTGTGAGAAGGTAAAGTGCACTGAGGCATGCAGAGTAAAGGATCAGAGGCATGTGCAGTAAAGGGGTCAACAACAGTACACTGTGCTTTGAACATTATATGCTGCTGTTATGCACCGTGAGGTTGGAACTGACTCACAGCTGACCCTCCAGGAAGTTTTTGGAGGCAGAAAATCACAAAGGAGGAGATTACACATCTTTCTTCAAAGGAGCAGTTGGAGAATTTGAACTTCCATATTTGGGCTGGCAACATAACTCCTTACCCCTAAGCCACTACAACTTTTGTAACATTTTATACAATATAGTTGTTGTTGTTATGTGTTTCAAGTCGTCTATGACTTATAGTTACCTTACGTACAACAGCCCTAAACCCTCCTCTATCCTGTGCCTTTCTCACTGTCTCTGACACACCTATACTGACTACCACATTCACGGAATCAATCCACCTCATAGAGGGTCTTCCTCTCCTGTCCCTTCATTCTCCCATGCATGACGTCCTTCTCCAAGGAGTGGTCCCTTCTTGCAACACGTCCAAAGTATGTCAGACGAAGCTTCAGAATTCTTGCCTCCAAGGAGCAGCCTGGTTTAACACTCTTTAGGTTAAACCTGTTCATTTTCTTAGCAGTTCATGGTATATTCAGTAGTCTTCTCCAACACCACAGCTCAAAAACATCAATTCTCCTTCTATCCTCCCTAGTCATTGTCCAGTTCTCTGACGCATAGCAAGTGATTGCAAAGACCCTGGACTGCATCAGGTATATATTAGTTGCCAAAGCGATATCATTGCTCTTCAGTACTTTGAAGAGGTCTCTAATAGCAGACTTTCCCATTGCAATATTTCTTTTTATTTCCTGGCTGCTGGTGCCAGGAGTGTTGATTGTGGAGCGAAGCAAACTAAAACTGTTAATCTCAATCTCTTCACCATTCATCATGATGCTGCCAATTGGCCCAGTGGTGAGACTCTTGATATTGAGCCTCAATTTGTATTGAAGGCTGCAGTCCGTGGCCTTCCGTAGCAAGTGCTTCAGGTCCTCCTAAGTTTCAGCAAGCAGGATTGTGTTATCTGCATAACACAGACTGTTGATGATTCATACACTATACAGTTAATATTATTATTAGCAGAACATAAAACATGATACTTTTTGGAATGATCTTTTTCTGAGCCTTTTGCTTATTTCCTTTTTTGTCCTATCTTCTGGAACACTTTATTCTTTAAATTCTTATACTAAGTTTCTGAATGAAGGAAAAAGTATTCTTCATTTGTAATGACACGTTTCTGTGTTATGAATGCTCCTTTCCCACAGCACTCTATTTGTCTTTCTAGATACAGTATACTTTCAACTTTCTCTGTGGTTATATTTTTCAGACTCTTCTCTTCCTCACAGTGGCTGTTGGATTTGAACTGCTGGTCTTTCAGTTAACAGTTCAGAACATATGAACTGTGCAACCTGAACTCCTTCACAGGTACCTGGCTAAGGGATTATCCCCTCATTCTCATCTTTCAGGGTTCACAGCAATATTAACTCATAACATTTCTCTTGTTTTCAGATCCATCTGTTTCTAGTCTCTACCAAAAAAGTTGCTTGCTGAATCAATTCTGACTTGTGATGACAGAATCATTGTGTATTACAATAGATTTTCCACAGGTTTCCAAGCTAATTTTTCAGAAGTAAATTATCAGTTCTTCTAGGGCATTCCTTTAATTAGTATCTGAATGAGTTCCTTTATGTGGAGAACCAAGCTCTATAGAAAACTTTTTAATTACTGGATTTACTCAGTATTTCCAGACTTTTAAAAAATGGTCATGTTTTCAACTTCTCTTATTCTACCTTCTTGCTGGTACCAGAAGTCTCCTTACCAAAGTATTCAAGTTTTCTTCATAGAGATGATGCACATTTGAATTTGCTATTATAAATGGAATATTTTTTCTGTTTTCCAAGCAGTACTTATGCAAGATCTCAATATTTGTAAATTTATTTTGTAACCATTTCTCTTCAGTGTGTTTTTATCATTTTTTTTATACATTTGGCGAGGGCCTTGTATATTGTGCTGCTAATCATAAGCTTGGTGGTTCAAATCCATCCAGAGCTCTGAGGGAGAAATATGAGCAGTCTCTACTTTTAAAGGTTTAGAGTCTCAGAAATCCTCTAATGGGTTGCTATTGGTCAGTACTGACTCAACACCAGTGACTTTTACTATTTCTATAGCTTAGTCCATTGGGTTTTCCTTATATACGGCATATGTGAATAATGATCCTTTTAAAAGAAGGGCGGAAAATGAAATAATACAATGTAAAAACAGAAGAAGTTACATACTCTTCAAGGGACTGAAAATTTATTTATCTTTTAATCCTCACTCTGCTAGTATAGTTCTTTTTTATGTAAGGAATTTATTAATGAGAAAAAGCTAAAGTGCAAAAGGGGAAATATTGAGAAAATGTGTGAGGATTATAGATGCACTATGTATGTATGTATGTGAGAGAAAGAAGGCGGAATGGGGAAAGACTCTCTTTAAGATATCATTCTAGGACTAGAAGGGAAACAAATGTTCAAACCATATTAGCTGTGTTAAGTCTGGCAGAAAAAAGAGCATGCAACTGAATGTGAGATGAGAGCAGGGCTCCTGTCTGTGTTATTAATTATTGTACATTCATTCACTTGCTATACATCAAAGAGGTGGACAATGACTAGGGAGGATAAAAGGAGAATTGATGCCTTTGAGCTATAGGGCTGGAGAAGAGTATTGAATGTACCATGGACTGCTAAGAAAATGAACAGATTCATCCTAGAGAGGGTTAAACCAGGCTGCTCCTTGCAAGCAAGGATTTGGAGGCTTCATCTGACATACTCTGGACACATTGCAAGGAGGGACCAGTCCTTAGAGAGGGACATCGTGCTTGGTAGGGTGGAGGGACAGCACAGGAGAGGAAGATCTTCATGAGGTAGATTGATTCAGTCACTGGGGTAATTGGGGTGGGTGTGTCAGAGACAGTGAAGTTGGCATGGGATAGAGCAGGGTTTAGGGCTGTTGTACACAGAGTCGCAGGTGACTCAACGGCACATAACAACACCACCACCACATTCATTCACTCCTAATTAATGTGCTTAACCTTAATACTAAAACCCACTGCCATCTGCTGTAAGGTTGATTCCAACCCATCCATCACCAAGTTTCCAAAACTGTAAAAGTATAGGAGACTACCTCAGCTTTGTGTGGGGCAGTCGGTGGATTCAAAATGCTAGCCTTTCAGTCAGCAGTCCAACATGGAATGCATGACACCATCAGCGCTCCTTACTATAATGATTACCACTATTGTTAGGTGTCACTGGGTGACACCTAAGTGTCTCCTGCTTATACAGAGTCTATATACAGCAAAACAAAACTCTGCCCACTCCTGTACCATCTTCACAATCTCTGCTATAGATAAATGCATTGTTGCAGTCACTCTGCCTATTCATTGTGTTGAGGATCTTCCTCTCTTCCTCCCTAACCTTCTACTTTTCCAAGCACAGTGTAGTATAGTTCTTAACACACAAGACTGGCTGCAAAAAATCAGACAGGTAGGGAATATACTCAATCATGGCATTTTAACAAATCAATAATATTTTATAAAGTTAATTAGAGAAATAAAATCACAAGTACATAAATGAAAACTAGTTACAGAATAAACTGCTGATTTTAATATTAAAACAGAAAAACTTCAGGAAAAAAAAGAAGAGCTTCTCTTAAAACCCTGCCTGATTTTTTTCATGAAGAGGACAGTGTAAGACCTGAAAATAAGTTGGGGTGAGTAAACAATTTTATTTGGTTCAAATATCTTTTGTTATTAACACTCTAGGTACATTAATTAGTTTAAAAAAAGAACCAAACTAAACATTTTTAAATAAATAAATACCTTCTGTTCCAGGGTAAGCTGATACTTCTGTTTAACTCTCTTACATTTGTTGAACCAACTATTTTCATCCATGATGAAAGGCGGTCCTATATTCTCTGGAGTACTGCTTTCACTACCACTGCTTCCCAAAGTCCTGAGCTCTTCCTCATCACTGCTGATACTATCAGAGCTGTAAAGATTAACATTAAAAAAAAAGTCAATCCTAGCCTCTCAGTTCGTGACTATGGAAAGAAACCCAAAAGTAAGCACCTAAGGATCTTTATCTATCACAGCTGTGGCTTTGACTAGACTGGTGGGTGGAGGGGGAAGAGTCCCTGGATGATAATAAATGTTCAACTTTGAAAAATACCCAACATACTTTTAGAAAATTGCAACTAAATGCATCAATGTTTAGTAGATTAGGTTCAAATATAGAATTAATGAATAAACTGGAAGACAGGCAGACAGGAAGAAATTACAATTAATGATATATATTTATTATAATATTCACGACAGGTATTTTCAACTCACTGGTGCCTAACAGCCGAACAACAAAAGAAGAGAAATTACATTCAGGATAACACATCCAGAGAAATTTTCTTATAGAGGGTGACAGAAACAATTTCCAGGAAACTAAAAACTGAAAATGTACTAACAAATTGTCACTAAGAGAATGTTCAAAGATTATACTTTAGAAAGAAGGAAAATGATCAACTATGGTTTATTTCACAAGACAGAAAAAGAAATATTGCAGAGGGGATCCCTGGTGGCCTAGTGCTCCACACATGGGCTACTAAGGTCAGCATTTCAGAGACACCAGCTACACTAAGAGAGAAAGACAGACAGTCTCGCCAGTAAAGCCTTGGAAACTCAATGGAAATTTACTTTGAGTTGGAACTGCTTTGAGGTCAGTGGGTGGGTAAATCTTAGAAGGTGGGGCCCTCCTTCTTCTACCAAATTTTCAGTTAGTAGCCAAAGACTTTACCACCAGGGTTTTTTTCCATTTATGTATTTTATATTTTTATTTCATAAAGAGAAACTTCTATTAAAATAAAAAAGAACAATGGTGTAAAACATAAAGCAAACCCATTAATTTTATCAGCAACCAAATAAATACAAGTTAAAATAACAATATATATAATTTTTCAATTACCCACATTTTTAAAAATCTGGATAAGGTACTTTCATATTGTAGTGATAGAATATAAATTGGTACAGCTTCTTTGGAAGGTTAATTTGGTAGAATAAATAAACAACTTTAATAATATGTATCTTCTTTATCCCAGAAATATTACTGCTAGAATTTTAGTTTAAGGGCATAATCGTGGTTCCTGGACAAAAGATGATTTCTGAGCAAACGAATATTAAATACAATACTATACACAAAAGTCAATGCATCCTAAAAATCAAGTAATAAATGTAGTATTGAAAGTAATGCTTTAACAACAATAACACTACTTTCTTAAATAAATAAATGTTTATAAGCATGAAAAAAGAAAATAATGCTTTATTATTAGTAATTTCAGTAAGAAGAAAAACTGCATCATATGACAAGCTATTCAATTATAAATGAAGTTTTAAAATAAAATTGCATGTCAAATACCTTTGAGTAAACTTCAAATACGGTGTATAGTCTATTACTGCAGGAAAGCTGCCATCCAATCCCTCTCCTTTTAGGCAGAAGCTAATGGACAAGAAATATTCCATATTAATACATTTAATTTAAAATAAAATATAAGTGGCATAAATAATCTCTTGTGAGAGGTATTTTGCATTACCAGATTACAGGCTAATTTTCTGATTCTAAATTAACTGTTAAATGTTACAAATAAATACCTCAATAAAGACAATCAACCTTTAACAGCAATAGCGAAGTATTTACCAGTATTACATCACTGTATCAAACAAAAGCAAAATTTATGAAAAAGAACTGAAAAACAAATACAAGCTTTGAGTTGCAATACTTAGAAATGCTATGGGCAAAATTCTGAATGACCCAAAAAGCATCAAAAGAAGATGGAGAGGATATACAGAACATCATACCAAAAACAACTGGGTGACACTGAAATACATCCTGAAGCAGTATATGACCAAGAGACAAGGGTAATGAAGGGAGGAGTTCAAGCTGCACTGAAGGTAATGGCAAAAAATAAGGCTCAGGAATCGATAAGACATCAATTGATCTGTTTCAAGTAACAGATGTGGCCCTATGCATCTATACCCAGTCTATACCAGGAAATTTTGGGGAAAGCTGACAGGACAAGATCCATATTTGTTCCCATTCCCAAGAAAGGTGATTCAAAAGAACACCAAAATTACTGAGCAATATCATTAGTATCATAAGCAACAAAAATACTAGTGAAAGTCAATAAAAATGGCTAAAATGGTACATAGAAAGGGAACTACTGGAAATTCAAGCAAGTTTTAGAAGAGGCAGTGGCACAGGGAATATCACTACTAATGTCAGATAGATTCTGGCTGAAAACAAAGAATACCAGAAAAAATGTCTATTTGTGCTTTATTGACTATGCAAAGGCATTTGACTATTGATTATAACAAATAATTGCTAACATTGAGAAGAATGGGAATCCTAGAACATTTAATTGTGCTCCTGTGAAACCTAAACCTAGAACAACAAGCTGCTTTGAGAAAATAGTGGGAACAATATTGTTGTTGTTGCTGTTATGTGCCATCAAGTCACCTGCGACTCATAGCGAACCTACATACAACAGCCCTAAACCCTGCTCTGTCCTGTACCAATCAACAGGGAAAACAACATTGTTTAAAATTAAGAAAGGTATGTGTCATGGCTGTATCCTTTTTTCATTTCTATTCAATCTGTATGGTAAGTAAGTTTTTTAAGAAGTTGGACTCTATAAAGAAGAATGAGGTATGAAGGTCAGAAGAAGAGTCATCAACAACCTGTGTTATGCAGATGACATAACCTTGTTTGCTGAAAGTGAGGAGGACCTGAAGCACTTGTTGCAGAAGATCAAAGAATACAGCCTTCAATATGGATTGCAACTCAACATCAAGAAAACAAGAATCCTCACCATTGGACAGATAGACAACATCATAAAAGATGGAGAAAATACTGAAAACTATCAACAACTTCATCTTACTTGGATCCACAACTATATCTTTGGTATCAGCAGTCAGGAGATCAGGAGACATATTGTACTGGCAAGTCTGCAATCAGGAACCTCTCCAAATGATTGAAGAGCAACAATGTCAGTTTGTGGTCTAAGGTATGTCTGATTCAGGTCACGGTCTTTTCAATCACTTGCTGTGCATCTGTGAGCTAGACAATGACTAAGGATGACAGAAGAAGAATTGATGTCTTTGAGTTATGATATTTGAAAAGAGTACTGAATATCCTATGAGTTGCCAAAAGACAAAAGTATATCTTGGAGAAGGTGTAGACAGAGTGCCCCTTGGAGGCAAAGGTGATAAAGCTTTGTCTCACCAGGCATGTTACTAGGAGAGGCTAGTCCTTGGAGAAGAACATGAATCTTGGAAAGATGCAAAGTCAATGAACGAGGAAGACCCTTAGCCAGATGGGTGGACACAGGAACTGCAGCAACGGGCTCACGTATGGAAGACGTTGAGGATGGTCCAGGTTAGGACACTAAGGGTTCAGATCTGTGTTCACAGGGTCACCATGGGTCATATGTGATTCAACGGCACCTAATACCGACTGTGGAGTACTTAATATGCGTTGTACTGCAAATCCAAAGGCCATACATCTCTTGTGGTTAGAAACTACCAGCAGCTCCATGGAAGAAAGATGAGCTATTTCCTTCTGTTAAATTTATAGCCTCAGAAAACTAACAGAGGGTCACCATGAGTCACATTTGTCTCACATACTTTAGGCATGTTGCCAGGAGGGGCTATTCCTTGGAGAGTGACATCATTCTTAGAAAGGCAGAGAGCTGGTGAAGGAGAAGAAGACTTTCAATCAGGTGTACTGACACGTTGACTCCTGCTCTGGTGTATCAGGAAGTGTGAGGATGGCACAGGCCAGGGTTCAGATCTGTTGTTCACAGGAGTGCTATGGGTCATTCTCGACTCGATGGACCTAACAACAATCACCTTCTCCTAGCAACCTGCCTGAAGTATGTGAACCAAACTTTATCACTTTTGCTTCCAAGAGTCACTCTGGCTACACCTTCTCCAAGGCATATTTTTGTCTTTTGGAAACTCATGGGATAATTAAATTAGTACTCTTTTTAAACACCACAATTCAAAATCAACAATTCTTCTTCTGTCATCACTATTCATTGTCTAGCTCTCTGAGCTTTTAAAGTCACAGGCCTTTGAAAACCCCATAAACAAGAAAGGAACACTGTTAGATAAAGTACTGGAGGTAGAACCCAGATTGGAAATCACTCAAAATGAGGAGAAATAGTTTTAAACATGTAACAATAATTGGAACATAGAATGTATGAAATCTAGAAAAACTGGGAGATTAAAAAAAATTAAATGGGATGCATAGAGATTTGAGATGGACTGGTTGGTACTGGAAACTCTGAATTAGACAATTACATGAACTATTATGCTAAAATGAAAAATTGAGGAAGAACAGTGTTGCATTCATAGTTTTAAAAGGCCATTTCAAGAACCATTTTCAAGTACAATACAGTGAGTGATAGGATTCTATCTGTAGGTATACAAGAAGACCTATTAATACAACTAGTATTCAAATATATGCACCAACAACTAAAGCCAAAGAGGAGGAAACAGAGGATTTTGACCAAATTTTACAGTTTGGAAATGACTGAAAATGCAATCAAAATACATTAATAATGTGACTAGAATGCAAAAGTTGGAAACAAAGGAGGATGGGTAGTCAGAAATTATAGACTTGGTGACACAAATGAGGATGGAGGTAAAATTATTGAATTTTGTACAATCAATGATTTGTTCATTGTTGAGTACTTACTTTAAAAAAAAACTAAACAGTCAATAAATACTACATAGAGCCACTGTTGTAGAATGGGACTGACATCAGGGTTGGGGTAAGACTGAGAAAAACTGGATAAATTATATATACTGCATTGAGACAGATGAGGAAGAAAACAGTTTAAAAGTGATGTATGATAGGGTATTATGGTTAACACAAGAGTCCAGAATGAAGGCTGCATAGTCGAGTGTACTTGGGGTGGGTAGATTCTGTAACAATGAAGGAAATTTTTCTTTTACTTTTCAAAGAGAAGAGCAAACTGGGGTGGGGGAGGGTGGGCAGGGAGAAAAATGCAACAATGAATGAATGGAATTCCAAAATCTTTGCGAATGTTCATTAAAATTAATAAAATTTAACAAAATTCTAAAAAATGGGAGTAGAAAAAAAAAAACAACCAAAAACAAAACAGAACAGTGACTATCCACATGGATCTCACCTGACAAACTACAGGGGAATCAGACTGGCTATGTTTGTGGAAAAGAAAAATTGCTGGAAAAGATCAATATTAGCAGTCAAAAGCAGGACAGGTGCTGGCTGTGAAACAAACTATCAATTACTCATGTGCAAGTTCAAATTAAAGCTGAAAAATATAAAAACAAATCCACAAGAAATAAAATACTACTCCTGAAATGTTTTTCCCCCTCAGTTACAAGTTGTATGTTTACTAGTGACATATGTAGACTGTTCTGTTGAATGTAAAAATTCTGTAGGTTTGAGACAGTCGTTATATTAAAAAGATTAACACCTAAATCAAGCATAAAAACCAATATCCATCAGTAGACAGTGAGGCAGTTTTAAAATGAATTCCCTCCGCCTTCCCAGATATGCAATAAAGTGCTTTGCATACTAAAAGAAAATAAAATACGACTTTGAGTCTATCTTACTTGAATTTGAAAACAACTCAAGAATAAGTTTGAGGCACTGATCAAATACCAGTAGAGCTGAGATGACTTCAAGGATATCATGCATGAAGAAAGCAAAAGGTCATTGAAAAAGATCCAAGAGAAAGAAAACACCAAAATGGATGCCAGAAGAGACTCTGAAAATTGCACTAGCACATGAAGAAGCCAAAACAGATGAAGAAATGACAAAATAAGAGAGTAAGAGATGTTTCAAAGGACAGAAAACAAAGTATAGGAGTATAACAAAATGTGCAAAGAGCTGGAGTTCAAAAATAAAAAGGTAAAAACTTGCTCAGCATTTCTCAAGCTGAAAGAAGTTAAAAGCAAATTCAAGCCTCAAGTTGCAATACTGAACGATGCAATGGACAAAATATTGAACAACCCAGGTAGCATCAAAAGAAGACAAAGACAATACAAAGTCACTGTACCAAAAAAAAATTGGATGATAGGGAATACTTTCAGGAAGTAGCATATGATTAGGAACCAATGGTGATGAAGGAAGAAGTTCAAGCATCAAAGGTATGGGGGGAAAAAAAATAAGGCCTCAGAAATTATGGGATACCAAATGAAGTGTTTCAATTGATGAGAATGGATGTATTTATCAGTCGATGCCAAGAAATTTGAAAGATAGCTACCAGGCCAACTGAAAGTGAAATATCCATATTTATTCCCTCTCCCAAGAAAGGTAATCAAATAGAATATGGAAATTACTGAACAGCATCAATAATATCGCATGCAAGTAAAATCTTGCTGAAAATTATCCCCAAATGGCTGGAATAGTAACATCAACAGAAAACTGCCAGAAATTCAAGCTTGATTTAGAAGAGGCTGTGGCACCAAATACATCAATGTAGATATCAATATCAGACAGATCTTGGCTGAAAGCAGAGAATACCAGAAGGATGTATATTTGTTTTATTGACTATACAAAAACTTGTGACTGTGTGGATCATAACAAACCATGGCTAACATTGAGAAGAATGGGAATCTTAGGCCATTTAACTGTGCTAATGTGAATCCTATACCTAGACCTGTTATCCAAACAGAGTAAGGGGATACTGCATGGTTTAAAAGAAAAAAAAATGTGAATATGAGGGCAGTATTCTTTCTCTATACCTAGCTAGAGTGTGCCTTGGAGGCAAAGATGCCAAAGCTTTGTCTTACATGGTGGAGGGTCAGTGAAAGAGAAGAGGACCCTCAACCAAATGTACTGAGCTAGTGATTGCTGCAATAGACTCCAGTATATCAGAAATGATGAGGATGCCACAGGATAAGTGCAGGGTCCAATCTGTTGTTCATAAGATCAGTGAGTCCAACTTGACTCGGCAGCACCTAACAAAGTAATAACAAATTCAATCTGTGTGCTAAACAAATCATTCAAGAGGCTGGACTTTATGAAGAAGAATGCAGCAGCAGGGTCAGAGGAAGACTCATCTACAACCTGTGTTATGTACATGACACATCCTGGTTGCTGAAAGCAAGTAGGATTTGAAATGTGTGCTGCAGAAAATAGAAAACTGCAGCCTTCAATATGAATTACATCCCAATATCAAGAAAACAAAAATTCTCACAGGTGGATCTAAAGACAACATCAAGTTAGATGGAAAAAGATTGGCATTGTCAACAATTTCATCTTACTTGGATCCACAATCAATACTCCTTAGTACCAGGAGTCAAAAAATGAAAATATGTGTTGAATTGGGTAAACGTGTTATCAAATATTTCTACAAGGTGTTAAGAAGCAATGATGTAATTTTAAACACTAAGACCATTTGATTCAAGCCATGGTCTTTTCAATTATTTATTATGAATCTGAAATATGAGAATTGAGACTGGCAAGACTTAAGTTTCATGTACTTTGGACACAGTGGTCAGGCAGTGGGTCAGCCACGGAGGTAAAGACCCTCAATGAGATCCCAGGGGCTGCACTATGGGTTCAAACCCAGCAACAATTGTGTGGACGACACAGGACAAGGCAATGCCGATTTTGTGGTAGAAAAGTCTGTCTGAATTAGAACCAATTCAAGCGCTTCTAACAAAAACACCGATTATTTGGTTGGGTGTTTTGGGGTTTTTTTAATAGTATACCTTCACAGGAATGGAATATTTATAAGATTTTGATTGTTATTTAAAAGGAAAAATTAATCTGTGAAACTTCAGCTTCTGCTTTTTTGGTGGTAGTTGCTCCACTAAAATACATTTTGCAATATATCAATATTGAGGTACATTACGCATTTTCTAGATATGCATAAATACATGATCCAAGTGTCATACTTTCTAAGGTCTTGCATTTACAGACATTTACTGATATGCCATCAGGCAATCTGACAGTATCAGTAAGTTACACTGGGTTAACAGTTACTATAGTTCTTGCACTAGTGGGTTTTTTTTTTTTTTAAAAAGGTGATAAAAAACTTTATTCACACACACACACACACTCACTCTCTCTCTCTCTCTCTCGCCTCTCTTTCTCTCTGTGTAAGGAATTTAGATGGGCAGCAGCATATCACATAAAAAGCTTATTAGAGAAATCATATAGAAGAACTGATGTCTTTGAGTGGTAGTGGTGGAGAAGAATACTGAGTATCACATGGACTGCCAAAAGAACAGATATACCTTGGATAAAAGTACAGCCAGAGTGCTCCCTGAAAGTAAGAATAATTAAGCTTCATCTCTCATACTCGGGACATGTTCCTAGGAGAGACTATTCTTGGAAAAGGACATCATGGTTGGAAAGAGGGAAGGTCAGTGAAAGAGTAGAAGACCACCAAACAAGATGAACTGACAAAGTGATGGAAGCAATGGGCTCAAGTGTGACGGAGATGATAGGACGGCACCAGAAAAGACACATTTCAGATCTGTTGTTCGCAGGGTTGCTCTGAGTCATACTCGAGTGAACAGCACCTAAAAAGAATAACATTACCATCTAGCATAGTAATCCTAATATATTTAGCTAATTAGTAGAACACTAGCGCACTCTAGTGGCTTAGTGGAAAGGAAATGCATTTCAGTTTACTAAGTTATAAACAGAGAAAAGTTATACTGGTGAAAGGACAAATATTCTTATTTACTAGAAAAGATAATCTAAAATTATTTAATAGAGAAGCTAACCTCTGAAAATGAACAGTATTATTTTTAACTAAATTTTAAAAAGTAAATTTTCATTCAAGTCACATACTTATTTTGTTATTCTGAATTTTTCAAATGAAATTAATATAAACTCTTATCTCCATAATTCTTCTATTTAAGCTCTTTTTATTGAAAGATCCATAATATTTAGTCCATTTTAAAGTCTAGAGTCAATTATAGAAATGCAAAAGACAGACCTGAAAACAAAACAAACACAAACCTATATTGTTCATGTTTAGGATATGTAATCTTACTGTAGAATCACTTCCACACTTTAAAAATAAAATCAAATTGGACATTATTCTTATATTCCCTCACTCAACACACTGCCCTTTAGCCAGAACTGACTCCTAACCATGCGTCCAGCAGGTTCCGGGGGCTGTAAACCGCCTGGGAGGAGACTGCTCATCTTTCTCCCACAGAGTTGCTCCTCCAGGGAGGCATGACCTTTGGGTCAGGAGTACAATTCCCTATGGACTAAGCCACCAGAGCTCTCTAGCCATTTAAAGGAGTATGAACAATCACTGCAAAGAAATAAAAATAATAATCATATGTATAAACTATTATGAGAGAAAACTATTTAAAGCTTGAGTGCATCTGACCAAAGTACCTGAAATCAATAGCATTGAGTCCAAGCAGCATGCCAGCAAGCATGTTTGCCTCTTCACCCAAGACAATCGCCCCATCTTCATAAAATCTCCTAAAATAAGAAAATGGATAAATATATAAATACTCAAAACAGACTGTTATTTGAGCTAGAGCAATTTATATGTTGGAAGAGTTGAACTTTATTTAATTTCTAAAAACATGCTTGGATCACCCAAGTCTTACAGATATTCAAGAAAAGCCACAATAACAAACTCACTTTTTCCAGCTCTCTTAAAAAGAATCCCCTAAGTGACTCTTTGAATGGCGGGGTGTGTCTAGCATTTTCCCCTAAATGTGAAGTAAGATTGATGCAATCTAAAAAGAGGGTTTTTTAAAAAAGAAGTTAGAGGCAACGGGAATTGCTTATACCAATTCACATGAAAGGAAGCTCTGGTGGCCTAGTGGTAAGAAGCTGCACTGCAAAATCACCTCTGAAAACCCGTGGGAGGAACTATGAGTCATTTACTGACTCGACGGCACATAATAACCGTTTACATAAAAGAAAATGATATTAATTAGTAAAATAAATGGAAATATTTTCTACATCATTTATAGAGGTATTCACTATAAAGGTAAAGATGTTAGGTCAATCTATATATATGAGGTTTTGTCCCTACCTCAAAGTCCAAATTGGCTGTTAATAGAATATTTTATTTACTCAAAGAAAAATTATCCCTGCAATGATTCTAGGGCAGTAAAGCCTATGGGCTGAGAATCACCTAATATTCCTGGTATTCCTCTAGATTTAAAACGTCGTAGTAATTTTTAAAAAAATTATTTTTATTCTTATCTTGAGCTCCCAAAGGTTTAAAAACACAGTACTATTATTGCTTCTTAATGCCAACATTGTATTACAGGCTGATTACACTTAAAATTATTTTAGATCATTTTAAAAGCCGAAATGACTTTTATTTGTGTGCATATATGATATGCTATCAATAAGTTTTGGGGTTTTTTTCCTGTAGTTTAACTACTGGGTTTTCAAGAGAGCTCTGGTGGCTTGGTGTGAAGGAGCTGCACTGCTGACTCAAAGGCACAGGTTTGAATTCATCATCTGCTCTGTGGGAGGAAGACGAGCATTCTTCTCCCGTGAAATAAAATGCTGCTGAAAACCTGCCAGAGGCCCAGCTATGAGTCAATTCCGACTCAGTGGTACACCACAATAACAATGACTTTTTAAACTCATCAGTGTAAGTGAAATGCTTGCCATATGTGAAATCAGTAATTCCACTGACATGAGCAGCATACCTCAAACAAAATACTGTACAGATCTAATGTTCATACAGCAGTCTTTACAGCAACAAGTGAGAGGAGAAAGGAAAAAGGAAAAGCTAGTTATGAGATGTACCTATTACATTCTGAGTTATTTCATGATCATGGTTGAGCAAAGAGATATTCTGCAGAAAATGCAGTTCCAGATTTCAGATCAAATATTATGAAAATCAAAAGATGAATTCCACCGGGAAAGTTTGCTTTCAGGGATATCTCCAGAGTACTGAAGAACAATGTCAGTCTGGAGACTAAGGTGTGCCTAATACAGACCATGTTGTTGTGGTTGATTGCCGTAGAGTCGAGCATGACTCATAGAGAACCTATGAACAAAAGGCCTAAAGTCTTTCTATAACTATCATCATTTATCAAATTAATAGAGTTTCCAGAGGCATACTTTTTAGGTAGTAGATGCCATAGTTTTCACAGTTATGTGCTATGCAACAGAGAGCTGAACAATGACTGGGGATGACAGAAGAATTGATTGCTTTGAGCTGTGGTGCTAGAGAATACTGAATATACCATGGACTGCTAAGAGAATGAACAGATTCATACTGGAGAGGGTGAAACCAGGCTGCTCCGTGGAGGCAAAGATTCTAAAGCTCTGTCTGACATATTTTGAGCATGTTGTAACGAGGGGCCAGTCCTTGGAGAGGGTGGAGAGACAGCTCAGAAGAGGAAGACCCTGGATGAGATGGACTGACTCAGTGACTGGGGTAAAGAGGTAGATGTGTCAGAGACAATAACGTTGGCTCAGGATAGAGCAGGGTTCAGAGCTGTTGTACATAGGGTCATCATGAGTCACAGGCAACATAATGTCACATAACAAAAACAATTAGGTATTAAGGATAATCTTGAGAAATTTTTCAGCTATGTAGCATTGAATTATTTTAATCAGTGAATGGAAGATATCTGAAAAAGGCCATTCAGTGACTGAAGTAATTTAATATCAAAGGCCAATATCATGCTTGTGTTTATAAAGGTAGAAGCTGTTTGGAAAATTAATTTTTTATTCTCTTAACCAAACCACCATATGAAAAATTTTAACTGGTTTTTGGAAGACTTATAAAAATTACAAACGTTCACACTTCCTCATTTTATCTCATAATAAAAGGAAAGTATTAATTTCTGCTTATATAACCAAGATTATCAATCAGCAGAAAGTGAACAAAAAAGGAAAATCTGAGTTTACCTTCTCATCCAATAATAGTAAGGTACACTCTAAAATGTAATTCTTCTTTTTGAAAATATTTTCTGTTCTAAAGAAAATATTATTAAGAAAATAATCTAACCAAAACAGTACTCATAATTTTAAGAATGCATTATAAATATTGAAAGAACAAATGTAAAATAATGAAGAACTTCCAATTTAAGGACTTGAGTATTAGATTACCTTTTAACACATTTTATGTATTTTAGAAGCAAACAACAATTATATGAGACCATTTCCTATACCTGTGCTCTGGAAGACACTAAAGCTTTGGTGATTGAGTCCTTTCCAATCGACCGTGACCCTACAGGGCGAGCAGAACCGCCCTGCAGTTTCTAAAAATGCACTATTAGCAGAAGCAGATCTGCCACATCTTTCCCCAGGAGTGGCTTGCAGATTCCATCTGTCCTTTTTTCCATTAACAGTTCTAAGTTCTTAACCACTGTGCTAGCAGGCTCCTTTTTGGGAGAAAAGCTTCCACTTTTTATTTATAATGTTCCTTCTACTTTTTTTTTTACAGTTTTATTTTCAATCTTTATTCTACTAGTTTATTTACAAAATTCAAATACAAATTTGAACTAATTATTTCCATTTCCTTCACCCCCTCACCCATCAAATTGTACAACCCAATGATTAATCTCCCTTTCCCCCTGCACATCCACATCCCTCTGCTTCCAGCCTCTCCCACCCCTCCTGGATCCTTATACTCATTCTACAATAACGGTTTTATACAATATTTATCCTTGTGGGACTGAGTTAGTTCACTCAGCATAATGCTCTCCAGTCCCTCTCAGGTTAGGTAATAATTTAAAAGTTATTGCTCCTGCGTGCTGCATAGTATTCCACTGCGTAAATGTACCATCATTTCTCAATCCATTCATATGTGGTTGGACATTTGGGCTGTTTCCATGTTCTTGTGATGGTGAATAATGCTGCTATGAACATTGGTGTACAAATCTCAGTTTGTGCCTCAGTTTTATGTATTACTTAAGTAACTATAAAATTTGAGTTAGAATTGACAGTAATAATTTTTTTGGTTTTGTGTATGTGCTGTCGTTTTCATGTATTTCCAAGTCAGAATTAACTCATACTCAACCCTCCAGTGGATTTTCAGAGGCAGTTAACTGCACAGGAACAGATAGCCCATCTTACTCCTGACAAGCAGCTGGTGGATTCGAACCACCTTTCTTGCGGTTGGCAGCAGAATTTATTATGACTAAGCTACCAGAGACCTTTTCTCTTCTGACATATAAACGCCAATTAAAAATGCTATCCAGTATTATATTTTAGGGCATTATTTTTTATCTTAGGAGTATGCAATGAGGGTTGCAGAGTGGATTATATTTGGGGGTAAGGGATGGGGTTTTAGGAGGTGCGGAGGGGGGGATTGTGTACCAATGAGGGAGTTTTTCTTTTGCTTTTCAAGGAGAAGAGCAAATGGGGGGGGGAAGGGGGAGGGGTTTGTGCGGGGAGAAGTGTGCAACAATGAATGAATGGAATCCCAAAATCTCTGTAGATGTTCATTGAAATGAAAAATAAACAACCTAAATTAAAAAAAAAATGCTATCCAAAATTCATTCTATACTTTTTCATTCTCTCAGGTAATTAAGTAAGAAACATCCTTTGTATAGGAACCAAGGTGAATAAGCATAGATTTTAATATTGGACAATATTATCTTTCAAATTCCTATTCTGAAAATTATAAACTACATACTAAAAGTATGATGTTAAAATAGGCAAAAGCTCATTTCATAAACCAAAGACATGTCATTATCAATATTTTTGCTACTCAAAAACATACAGTACCTATTCCATGTGATTTATAGCCTTTGAAATCCCACTGGAGGGTCAGTTATGAGTCACTTTGGACTCAACAGCACACAGCAACAAGAGTTTCCCATTTACTCTATAATTTTTCTATTTTCTATAAAATATTTACTCTATTCAGGAGACAGTAAATGAGAAACTCTTGTATATAAAGAACTTATTCCCCTTTTATGACATACAAAATACTTTAAATATTCTATTCTACAACAAACCAAATCAAATAAGAAAAAATGGACCAAAATGGAAATTTCATATGTCTAAGAATATGAGGGTCATATCAACAAATACATAGCCATTTTTACTGTAAGACAGGAAATGTTCTGGTATTACAGTTAAAATAGCAACTGAACTAGACATGGTCCCTGCCTTTATAAAAGATAATTGTCTATAGGAAGAAAAGTAACAAACAAAAGAACAAAATAATTACAAATTATTATTAAATTCCTAGAGTTTTGAGACAGAGGAGAAAAAAAACTGAAGGCTAAATCAACTTTGAAGAGAGTCATCAAGAAAGACTTTCTCAAGTATTTAAATTGAGACGTTAAGCCCACAGAATTACACTGGAAGCCATATAGCATTAATGTCAATAGTGAACATTTACTGAGGGGCAGGCATAGTTCTAAGTGCTTTAATTATATTATCTTCTTGAACTCTCTTGTGTATCTAGTATATATCACACCACAGAAGAGTCAGTCACTTGTCCAAGACTTCACACATGCTGGAGGGTCAGCTATGGGTTGGCTCCAACTCTAGAGCAAACAAAACTAGTAACAAGATGTCACCGTTACAAAAGAGTGGAACCAGGATTTAACTCCAGGAAATGTGACTGCAAAGTACATGAGGTATAAAAGGAACAATTTCAAAGTTTGAAATGAGGATTAAAATTATCCCCTTACTCCTACTGTCAAGTCAGTTTGAACTCATGAAAGCTGCCCTCTATCAGGTTTCTGAGATTTTAAATCTTAACAAGCTTAGGTTTTAAATCTCATATTTCTCCCATGAAGCAGGTGGTAGGTTCAAACTGCCAACCTTTTGATTAGCAGTACAACATAAAACCAACTAACTATGCCGCCAAAGCTCCTTCACTCCAACTATGGTTTTTGTTGTTTTGTACCATCAAGCCAGAAGAAACTCATAGCTGACCCTCCAGTGGGTTTTCAGAGGCAGTAAATTGCATGGTAGGAGACTGTCCATCTTCTGCAGAGCAGTTGGTGGATCTGAACCACATACCTTTGAGTTAGTAAAGCAACTTCTTACCACAGAATTCAGAAAATCAGCATTTAATGTGACATAAATTTTGCCATTGTAAACCAAACATGTATGGCATAACTGCAAAATTATAATCTGATTCCCACAAAGTTAATTTTATCTACACTTCAAAATTGTCATTTGTTTCATATTTGCTATTTCGAACTCTTAAAGAATACGTTTAATTATTGTTTTTTACTTAATTTTTTCTAAATATTTTCAGTCTGCAGTTTGGGAAAATGACAACTTTAAGGAAATTAATGGGGTTTCTACCTTCCTTCTTTATCTGCAGGTCTTTTCAATAACCTATCAAAACAATCCTCTATTTTTATTAAAGCTTAGATCATAATCATTTTGCTAACTATGCAACTCGGTTTTCTAGTAACACTAATTTCTGAAACATGAAACTACGTGTTTTTTGTTTTTCCCCACAACTGCTCATCGTGGCAGGTTCCACTTAACAAGGATCACACAAATGTGTCTTACAGTTTTGAATCACATAGTCCAAGAATAAAGTTTATTTTCTTTATGCTCCCCACCCACTAAGCACACATACTTCCTCCACCCAATCTTATCCTTGGATTTTCACAGATGAATGCTTTCTCGTTTGCCTGGCTTGGATGATGGAGCTGCTTCTCCTCTCGTGAGTAAAGACGCGTTATCATTCTAAAGAATATAATTCTTCTATGAGGAAACACAGCAACAAGAAATATACTTGACCTGAGATTCCTCGAGGACAAGAATTTATTTCTGCTCTTTCCACAAGCATTTCGCTTCAGTGGAACCAGACAAAAGGTAAGGTACACCTATCCTTAATAATAATTTGTTTGTATTTTATCATCCTTCCTTCAAATATAATTCTTCTGAATAGAGGTGTTCAAGCAAATTTATTTCTAACAAGTTTCTTCAGTTTTATTACAAAGGGCAAAAAAAGTACCCAATTTCTTGGTTTTTTCCACAACTGCATTTTTAGCTAACTTTAAGATAACTTTTGAAAGAAATTAAATCTATTTCCTTTCTTGGAAACTAGAGAGTTACTATATTCACACTTAAATATTATCTATTAAGCCACTTTCCTAGAGAACAGCAGGCTGATGTATTATTACAAGAGAATATTTTCACTTCATGTACTTCTTAGAGCTGAATCATTTCCTTTCTATCAAAAAGGATGGTTAACACCTAAGAACAAAGCAAAATGAATTTCCCTTTAATACTCAAGGTACTCATTCTAAAAATATTCTCTTTAAGAATGGTTTCTGCCCCACCCAATTCTTTAAACTGAGAAATAAGACCAGCAACTTAAATACATTATCAATGCTCTCATTTCTTTTTAAAAAGGCTATCAAAAATGTGATGCAATGTTGCTACTGCTCAGGAGAAAATGACTGAACAAATCTGGTTTTGATTTCATTAGTTTAGAATATTTATGTTTTATCTATTAGCGCTTAATATTATGCACTCCTCTTTAATTTTGTCTAAGCCTTAATATCTGTAATACTATTATTCATAAATGCATTTGTTGTTGCTGTTGTTAGGGTCTATCTAGTCTACCAAGACTCACAGCAACCCTATGAACAAGCAATCTGAATCTTTCCCTAACCTATGCCATCTTTACGACTGCTTTAGTATTCAATCCCATTATGTTATTCACTGTGTCAATCCATCTTTTTGAGGGTCCTCCTCTCTTTTTCTGACCTTCTACTTTTCCCAGCATGATGTATCTTTCCTGAAATTATTTACTAGTTTATCTGATATCAGATTATTTCTTAGAAATTACTAGTAATGATAAACTACTAGAAATTAGTATTTACTAGTAATGATAAATAAAATAAATGCCATATTTACAAGGTTCATTCAAATGGCTAAGAAGTGTCACATCATTTTATAGCTGACCTTCAGACATTATCTCATAATTATGATGTTGCTTTGAAAGACTTCACTGTGTGAGGTTTGTTTCATATATGTATGTTGGATTAGGTTTACTTTATGTAAATAATTCTTTCAGCTAACATTTATTCCATCAGATTTTTTAAATAAAATTTTTATTTTGTACTGGTTTACTTTCAAAGTTCATATACATTGGTTTTCACACTATTTCCATCAATTTTTTATCATACTATATGAGGCTTTTCTTTGTAAAGTATCTTAAAAAATGAGTAGAGAAGCCTACATAAGAATACTTTCATGCACATCCAAAAACTTCTCCAACAGCTAAAGAAGCCACAGATTAGAAAAAATATTTGGTAATGACATGCCAGACAAGGGACGTATATCTAGAATTTATAAAATACTCGAGCAGCACAACAAGATAAAGGTAAATAACCCAATTGAAAAATGGGCACAGGATATGAACAGACAATTCACCAAAGAAGACATTCAGATGGCAAATAAACACATGAAGAAATATTCAAAATCCCTAGCTCTAAGAGAGATGCAAATCAAAACAATTATGAGATATCACCTCACCCCAGCAAGAATACAAAATTTAACAGAACAGCAAACATCAAATGCTGGTGAGGTTGTGGAGAAACTGGAACCCTTATTCACTATTGATGGGAGTTTAAATGATGCAACCACTATGGAAAGCTGCATGGCACCTTTTCAGTAAGTTGCAAATAGAAATACCATTTGACCCAGAAATTCCACTACTGGGAATTTATCTTAAAGAAATCATAACTTCGACCCAAGCAGATATATGCACACCCATGTTTATTGCAGCTTTGCTCTCAATAGCAAAGAGCTGGAAACAACCCAAGTGCCCATCAACAAACAAATGGATAGAGAAGCTGTGGTATATTCACACAACAGAATACTATACAGCATTGAAAAATAAGGAACTCACAAAATATTTTGCAAAATGGTTGACCCTGAAGGACATTATGCTGAGTGAAATATCTCAGTCACAAAAGGACAAATATTGCATAGGGCCACTGTCGAAAAAAAGGACTGACATTGGGGTTTAGGGAAAGCAGAGGAAGGGAGGAATGATACATACTGTATTGAAACAGACGAGGGAGAGAACTATTTAAAAAGAGATATATGATTGAGTATTATTGTCATGACAGAAGTCCAGAATGAAAGCTGTACAGTGGAGTGGACTTGGGAGGAGGGCTTGGATAACAATGAAAGAGTTTTTCTTTTACTTTTCAAGGAGAAGAGTGAAAGAGGGGGGTGGGGGTGGCAGGCAGAAAAGTTCAACAATGAATTAATGGAAACCCTAAGTCTCTGTAAACTTTCATTAAAATTAATGTAAAAAAAAAGAACATGCCCTACTCAGCTAAGAAAACATTAAGTCATGATAAATTCCTAGATTGTCTAATAATCCAAAATGTTAAACATGAAAGCTAAGATCATAGATATATTATTTGTGTTTAATTTTCTTAATGAAACTGGTTTCAGCTATCACTCATTAGTTTTTTCACTCTCAAAAACTGAATTAATGAAGTAAAAAGAAATATTCTAATTTAGAAATGTCTAAAGTAGCACAATCCAATAGTACTTTCCGCAATGAAGAAAATTCTCTCTGCCAAGTTCAACTTGGTAGCCATTAATCACATGTGACTGGTGAGCGCCTGTAATGTGACTTTAGGGATCAAAGAATTAAATGTTTGCATTTATTTAATCTTAGTTATTCTTTCTATGGTAGCATGTAATTAGTGGCTATCATAATGGACAGTACATATTCTAGGTAATTAAATGACATTTTTCTTCATTTGCAAATAGTTTTGATATGGAAAAAAAGTTGATTTCTCAACCAAGGCCATGAGTATATAAACTAGAGGAATGACTGTGGCCCAGATACGAACCTTATCTATACTACAATAAAAAAATTAACTGCTATTTTATAAATGAAACAAGAGGTCATTCTGTAAGTCCATAGAATTTCAATAAAACTACATTAATACAAACTGCCCAAAAAAGTTAAACATTTGTTAATATTACATATATAAATTAAAATAAATGAATGATTCATCTATATTCTTTAGCAGCAAAGAAGAAAACACTGTAATATGATAAGGATGCTACAGTAATTTCCTAGTTAAATTGTTCTTTAAATTGGTCAGGACAAGTCTGTGGAGAGAAAGTAGTTTCAAGTGTTGTAAAGTAAGACTCAAAAATTATTCTGAAAGAGTAAATTCCAGGGACATATGCATCCTGAAAAGATTAACCAAGGGAGAATTGTTTTAGTTGACAAGTTACATTTTACTGAGAAAAGAATGAATTTACATAAGCAGTAAGAAAAAGATACAATAAATAGCTGAAAAACTTAAGAAACTAATTTAGTTGTTCATTCTATTCTTATTTCTATCAAGGACTTTATATGATTCTTTCAAATACATAGTAGAAAATACAAAAGATTTAAACCTGGTTGTTTTGAAGTCTCTCAGGGCTGTAGAGATGTATTCCGATAAATGCTTTTCCATGAGTGCTACTCTGATCCAGGCTCTACCCTAAAAAAAAAAAAGAAAGGAAGGAAGAGGGAGAGAGAGGGAAAGAATCAAATACGAAAATAATTTAAAAATCGTTCCCACTGTGCTATATATTAAAAAATAAGCACATTCAAACTTGATAAAACAAGTAATTTAAAAATATATGCTTAAAAATACTAAGAAAAATATATGAGAAGATAAAAATAAGTAAAGGAGCTCTGGTAAGGAGCTGTGCTGCCAACCTAAAGACACTCAGTTCAAGTGCACCAGCTGCTCTGCGGAAGAAAGGTAGACAATTTGCTTCTGTGTACTTTACTGCCTCTGAAAACCCAACAGAGGGTCAGCTGTGAGTTGGTTCCAACTTGACAGTGCATTAAAAACAACAATAAAAGAGATAAATTTCATCATGTAGTGTATATGTTTTGTTTCTATGAATGTGCAAGGTATATAGTAAGCCAGTTTAACTTTCTATCCTCTGAAAGAAAAGAACCACTAGCATTGGGTTCCTTGAGCTGGAAACCTGTTTTGAATCATATTATATAGAGCCCAAAATAAGACAATTAAAATGAGTCTTCTATAAGAACATCAGGAAGATAGCCCTTCCTTGTGGATAAAAACAATCACTCTAATATCCTAGATACTGTTTTTGTCATGGTTATAAATCGTGAGTTAAATGAATATAGTATCCAAAGACATTTTAAAAGCTATTACTAATTATATAAGGCAGAAAAACGCCTCCACTAAAGCCAATCAGGATAATTTTAATTAAATGTGAATAATTTTACTGAAATGTGATAATATTGTAGTTATAAACCAACATTTTATAATTCAATACATTTCATTTTTATTTCTCAATTAGAATAAAAATAGAAAACCTTATTTATATTAAAATTCTAATTCAATTAATATTTTACAAACATTTTCACAAATCTATAGAAAAATCCAAGAACAATTAATATATAGAAACTATAAAACTTTAATGGTACTTTGAGAATAAATGTGACACTAATCAAAATATATGATAGTTAACAACCAGAAAAAAGCATTCTTTAGAAAAAATTTACAATTATACTGAATTCACTAAACTCTTGAATACCCAAAATTTACAACTAGCCTGAACTCACTAAATTCTTGGTTACCAAGCGTTCTGCCTGATGGTACTGGACAGTCAATATTAGCTCATGGTCTACTCTAGGCAAGCTCCTAACATTCCAGCTCGGAAATCTTTATGAGAGGGTATCTCATCCTTCATCCTCAGATGGCTGGAAAATTTTATCTTCCAACCTTTTGGTTACTGCTCAACATGTAATATACTAACCACCGGGGTTTCTTTTCCTGCACTGAATAAAACCAAAGTTAAACCCACTGCCAAGAAGTCACTTTCCAATTCATGGGTTTCCCGGGCTGCTAACCTTTAAGGGAGGAGATAGCCCACCATGCCCCTGTGAAAGAGCCAGTAGATTGCAATCAATGACCTTTCAGTTACCAGCCCAATAAGTAACTTACTACCCCGTCAGGCTTAATGCTTGACAGGAGGTGTTGATTTATGCAGTGGTAAAAATCTATCAGACTAGAAGCATAAGTCCTACTAAGGAAGGAAAAAAAAATATTAATGACTATACTTAGGATTAGTCCATTTATTTGGCTACTAACCTTGACTTCCCTTTTTCACTTGCCCTGTGTTTGGTCCATTGTTGCTGCTGGGGATAAGCTTAGGTGAACTTACAATTAGATGTGCTTGATTAGAACAGAGGAAGGAAGAGGCAAGCCACTGGCTGGCCAGCAACATTCCGAGATTACTGAAATTTCAGCCAAAAGGTGGCGAGACTAGTTAGATGATAGCAGTTATTTGAATTGAAAGGCCACATGTCCATGGTTAGAGAATCCAAGAAAGTTGCTCTTGAGAGAAATTTATACACAGGACACTGTGCTGCCGCCAGATAAGAAATGTGGGGAAAGTCCTGCTTCCTGATTTAATAGTTTCAATCCACGTAGAACTGGGCTGGACATAGTTTCCTGTCCTTGATGTTTATGGAATTCTCTGCTATATTGTGATAATAAACTGTGCTAATTTTAACAGATTTCTTCACTTTAAATCTAATGACTTTTACTAAAACATTACACAAACAGATTTATAAGGCTAATGGGGCCATTATCCAAAAACAACTGGAACAGCACATCAGCAGAGAACTGCCAGAAGACCAGGCTGGGTTTAGAAGGGGTCGTGGTCCTAGGGATGTTGTAGCTAATGTTAGATGGATCTTAGCTGAAAGCAGGGAATACTAGAGGATATATATCTGTGTTTCATTGACTATGCAAAGGCTTTTGACTGTGTGGATCGTAACAAATTGTGGTTGACTCTGAGAAGAATAGGAATCCCAGAACACTTGATTGTGCTAATGCGAAACCTATACTTGACTAGGAGGCAGTAGTCAGAACAGAGCAAGGGAACATTGCATAGTTCAAAACTGGGAAGGGCGTACGCCAGGGATCCGTCCTATCTCCATACCTTTTCAACATGTATGCAGAACTGATTATCTGGGAGCCTGGGCTCTTTGAGGAGAAATGTGGGGTAAGACTGGTGGAAGATCTATCAACAATCTGTGTTATGCAGATGACACAACCCTGCTTGCTGAAACTGAGGACCTGAAGTTCTTGATGCAGACTATCAAGGACTGCAGCCTCCAATATGGATTGAGGCTCAATGTCAAGAAGACAAAGACTGTCACCACTGGACCAATTGGCAGCAACAGAATGGATGGTGAAGAGATTGAGATTGTTCACAGCTTTAGTTTGCTTGGCTCCACAGTCAACACTCTGGGCACCAGTAGCCAGGAAATTAAAAGATGTATTGCCATGGGAAAGTCTGCTGTTATGGACCTCTCCAAAGTACTGAAAAACAATGGTGTCTCTCTGGAGACTAAGGTG